TCAGCTCCCTCATTTTGAAGGTGAGGGACATGAGGCTTAGAGAGGTTAAATTAGTTTTGCAACATCACATAGACTATAAGTAGTAGTGTGAGAGTCAAACCTAGACCTTCAAATACACACACACACACACACAATATACACATACATATATATGTATACACACACACATACACACACATATATGCATATACTATATGTGTGTGTATGTGTTCAAATCCAGCATCAGACACTTATTGGTTATATGATCCTCAGAAGTTAAAATAATTTAACCTCTCTAAGCCTCAGTTTCCTCATCTGTAAGATAAAGATAATAATAGCACCTATCACCCTAGGTAATTGTGAGAATAAAATGAGATACTTGTAAATTGTTTTATGAACTTTATATACAGATGCTAGCTATTACTACTACTACTACTACCGCTACTACTATTATATCATGTTCTATTGATATGCAATTAGAGATGTTGGATCTAGAGTTGAAAGGGATCTAGTCCAGCCACTTCATTTTTTATGTGAGAAAACTGAGGAAAAATAGGTGAAATGCCTTGCCCCAGGTCACTCAGGTAGTAAAAGGTAAAGCCAGGGTTTGAATTAATCCATTGATTCCATGTTCAGCACTCTAAGTTCCATGCTCTTTCTATTGCACTATAATTTTTTTCTCTATGTATCAAAGAATCCCCAAATTTTACCATTTTAGGTTAATTCTTTGGGTTAATATCTTTATGGTTTGCTTTCAAAATATGAACATTCCTGGTAGTGGCAATATAGGAAAATTATTCATACTAAGTCATTATTGACTTGTAGCTTTCCTCTTGATGGGCAAGGGGTAACAGCACCAGTGGTCTGGAGGACTGATGGATGATGTCAATAGGAGCTTTCTTTGACAAAGCACTTTTCAGTTTGTGTTACTTTCCCTCCAATATTCCTATAAAGTAGATATTATAAATTCTTTTATCACCAACATATTTCCAGAGTGTTTTAAAATTTAAAGAACACACTGTCCTCTTCATAACTCTGTGAGGCAGTTAGTAAAATAATAATAATAATATATTATACATATGTTATCATTTTAGAGATGGGGAAACTGAGATTCAGAGAGGTTGAGTGTCCTGTGCATTCAGCAAGGTAATGATAACCTCGCAGCTGGTGAGTGTGTTAGGGCTGGAACTTGAACTTAAAATTTCCATTTCCAATCCAACCATTCTGGAGAGAAATTTGGAACTATGACCAAAGGGCTATAAAACTGTGCATACCCTTTGGCCCAGCAATAGCACTTCTAGGGCTGCATCCCAAAAAGATCAGAAAAATGGGAAAACAACCCATATGTACAAAAATATTCATAGCAGCTTTTTGTGGTGGTCAAGACTTGGAAATTGAGGTTATGTCCATCAATTGGGGAATGGCTGAACAAGTTGTGGTATATGAATGTAATGGCATACTATTGTACTATAAGAAATGATGAGCAGGAAGACTTCAGAAGAACTTGGAAAGACATACATGAACTGATGTTGAGGGAAGGGAGCAGAAGCAGGAGAACATTACCACAGTAACAGCCACATTGTGTGATGACTGACTTTGATAAACTTCGCTCTTCTCAGCAATGCAAGGATCTAAGACAACACCAAAAGACTCATGATGGAAAATGCTATCCATATCCAGAAAAAGCTATGGAGTCTGAATGCAAATTCTAAGTATATTATTTGCTTTCTTTTCTTTTATTGTTATTATTGTTTCTTCTTTTTTGTGGTTTCTCCCATTGGTTCTAATTCTTTGTTACAACATGACTAATGTGAAAAAAGATAAACTAACATATCCTCTATAAAAATTTCCAACTCCAAGTCTAGTGCTTTTCCCCAGAGTGCCTCTTTCAATGGGTGGTGGAAGTAGGAAGGAAAATGTAAAAATGGGAGCTGAGAGGTGTAAAAAACCAACTTTTTATTTTTGCAATTTTTCCTAAGGTAAATCCTTTCAAACTCTACATTAACAGCATCATTGATGACATTTCTGAGTCCAATTTACATCAAAACCTGTTCTTTTTATGCACATTGGTTAAGTATCGTTTCTGAGCTTTGTTGATGAAATGGAAAGAAACTCCTTCAATTCCTCTCCTCGGCTCCTAAAACTTCTCAGCATCATCACTAACTCACTTTTCCTTCCTTTCCTTTACTGCTATCCCTTATTCTTCCCTAACACTGATCTATCAACTTTCACCCTTGAACTCATCTACTCTCTGTTTTTTATCTTCAGTCTCTGCCTCTTCACTGGCTTCTTCCCATGTCCCTGCAAACATACATATGTCTTTCCATTTCTAATACATCTTCCCTCAACCTTTCTACTCCATCCACTTGCTATCTTTTGTCTCTTCTTTTATTCACTGACAAAAGTCTTGAAAAAAACTATCATGTGTATACCTTAATGTTTCAATTTTTTCACCACCTACTCTATCCAAACTTCTTGTAATCTAATTTATTTCCCCCTAGACTCTACTGGTACTATTTTCTGAAGATAATCAACAATCTCTTATTCAATAAATACAAATTGCCTTAAAGTTTTTTGTTCTTTTTTACATCTCCCTGGTATTAGACTACGTTGACAATTTCCTCAAAGTAGATTACTAAACCCCTAACTACCTACCCGCACTTCAAAGGCAGCATATTTTCTTGATTCTATTCCTTGTCTAATCAGTCCTGAGTATCTTCCACTTGTACTTTGTCACATTCTGGATGTTTCAGTGTGAATATTCTCAAAGCATCTGTCTTTGGCCTTCTTTTCTTCCTTCTTTACATACTCTCCCTTGAGGATCTTATTCATTCCAATGGCTTTATGCAGATGAAGCCATGAAGAGGACTCCATAATCTCTATCACCAGTCCTCACCATTCCTCTGAGAGCTGGATCTACACATTCCACTACCTACAGGACATTTCCATCTAAATACTTGACCAGTACCATAAACTCAGCACATCAAAAACTGAGCTTACTATCTTGTCCCTTAAAAATAATACCCTTTTATTTTTTTCAATTACAGCAACATTGTTACATCATTCTTCCACGTCTAAAAATTGAGTAACATATGTGGTGCTTCTCACTGTCTCGCTTATCACATCCCATGAGTTACCAAGTCCTATTCATTCTACCTCTTAGTATCTCTAGCATCCACCTCTCTAATCTCATTGCCACCATCTTTGTATAAATCCGCATTACCATTTGACTGGGTTACTATACCAGTCTCTTTACAGATTTTCAAGAGGTCAATCTCTTTTCCCTATATCTAGCCTTTATGAGTGAGTGTTCTCTGAGCGGCTTCTTTTGTTCATTAGATTAGGGGAAGCATAGACAAAATTCTGTCAAAGATTTTAATAAACTTAAATTACAAAAAGTAGGATACATTTACTTTTTTTAAGGAAATGATACAAAAAAATCAGTTTCTTCTAGGATTTTCTGGTATGAATTTTACAACTTTAGGGTTGCTATAAAAAACTTATTTGTCAAATATGGAGTTCTTAGTAATTCTTATCCTATAATCATATTTTCCTTTAGTTTTGACCATGAAGGTGATGGGAAATGAGGTAATAAATCTTCATAATTACTTTTTTGGTTAATTTTCTAGATGACATTTATTAAAATTCTAAATAGTCCCTTCATGACTACAAATATACTATTGATTAATAACTTTTCATTAGGGACAAAGGAAATTTGGATAGAATTCATTCAAAATTTTAAAGGCCACAAAAGAGCTACTTGGGTTTTGCTGAGTACTCACTTTCAGTCTAAATAAGGACTGGAGGTTAGAAACAAGAAATAGCTGTATTTGTGAGTGTAGCAGAATTAGTTGTGAGTGCAAGATTCCCCTGGCTCTGTTTGCAGTGGTTTGTCAAAATAGTTTTCAAGCAGTCAGAGTATTGTAGGTTTCCTGTTACTATTAGGGCTATTCAGATAGTTCATAGTGAATCAAACTGAATTTGTCGGGTCTGGTAGTCTGGGTCTAGAATTAGACTTTTGTTGACCTCTTGTAATTCAGAGGCTGCTTAGGTGATTTTCCTGCCCCAAATTCTTATCTAACTCTACCAAGTTGTGTAGAGGCCACATCTACATTCAGTGTTCTTGCCTTCAGTAATTACATGCATAGAGTTCTTCTGTCCCCTCCCAGAGGTTCTGACCTTTTATTTTTTGACCAAGGAGATAATGGAGATCTTTCATGCAGGTCTTCTTCCTTACTTCTCTTGTTGATAAAGTAGTAAGGATAATTGGGACAGTGATTCTCAATTGAAGTACAAAGATCTTGTGTTGGAATGTTGGAGTGGACAGGATTCCAATCCAAAAGGTCAAAGTCATGTTATTGGATCAGAGGGTGTTATAGTTAAAAGATCCTCAGACATTAGCCAGTTCAATCCATCAAGGCAAGCATTCCCTCTACAATATTACTGGCAGATATCCTGCCAAACTGAATACTTTCAGCTTGATATATCACAAAGCAATCCTCTTTATCCATAAATAGCTAAAAAAAAACCCAGAAAATTCTTCCATACATTGAACTAAAATAGTTTTATTAAGGTGATTTCATTTTCCCTACTTAAAGATTTCAAACCAGTGTGATTTGTGGCATAATTGATATCTATATCTTTCTGGATTATGAACAAATTTCTTACAGATGCTGTTAATCATAATTCTCCATGAGATTTTTTTTCCTCAGAGAGATCATTTAAAAAAATAAGTTTAAAGGAGTAATGTGGTCAAAACTATTATTATCAGGATAAATAAATCCCATTTTTATTTTAGTAGAGTCAAAAAGATACTTTACCTAATAATAATTTAATTACCCCAATCTTGTGTATATCAAGTAATTAGGAATTATAGCCATGGTGATAAAAACAAAGCCTGTAATTTATCTCCAGAATCTTTTGATGGAATTAAAGCTTTCCTGAGCAACTAAGATATCTGATTTCAATGTTTTACTGAATTACAAGTGTTTTCACAGTGAAATTTGCTTGGATTATTTCAGCACATCAAGGGGAAAGACCTACAGGAACAGAAAGTGAATGAAGGCCCTAATCTTGGAAGCCCACCTAATTTTTCTACTTCCTCCAATGAAGTAAAAAGGTTAGTGAGATCATTTAGATAAACTTGTATTTTTATATCAACAAAGGTGTTTGATGGAAAATGTAGTTTTTCCCACCTAGAGCAAGAGAGGGAGAAGTCTGGTATCACTAAGGAAGCCCAGGAACTTTTGGATTGGAAAGATGTTTGCTAGGCCAGCAGCCAGCAGATTGGAAAGGAAGGGTGCTGCTAACCTCTAACTGAACAATTGGAGCTCTGTCTGGCTCACTGATCTGCTTAAAAAGTAGTCTGCTTGGACAGTATTTGCTGCAGCACTGGGACCTGGGAAATTCATCATTTCTCCTATTCCTCTCCCTTCTCTGTATCATCACTGCTGCTTGGTAAACTGGAATTGCCATTCCTCAGGAATTTCTTGCTCTCTTTAAATCTTGCTTATTTGCTCTTCATTCTTTTAGAATGGCTTTGGCTCCAGATAAAGATGTCCTGATTTTAATTGTGCTCTGAGTAAGTGTTTATTATAAATGTTTATATAATATAAATATAAATTTACTATAAATGAGTGGATCACACTACTGGAAAGAGGAAGGGGAGTCCCTGGACTGATACCCCAACTTAACCATGACCCTATATTGAAGCCCGGTCTCTGTCTCTATCTCTGTCTCCCCAGACAGTGGGAGGGGTTGTTGGTAGAAATTCATCAAAGGGAGGAACAGAAATTGAATTGTAGGGAATATTGTGCTCTCTATAGTTTGTATAGTGGCAGCAGGATATAATGAAAGGTAGTATGGTATAATGGACAAATTAGTGTACCTGGAGGTAAGACATACTTGAGTTCAGATCTTTTTTCCCAACTTGAATACTAGTGTCACCATGGTCAAGTCACTAACCTTCAGTTTTCTTATGTGAAAAATGGAATAATAAGGTTTGTAATATCTACCTCATAGTGTCACTGAGAGGAACAAATGAGATGAGGTATGTAAAATAGTATGTAAACATTAGCTGCCGGTGATCTAAAAAAATATGAGATCCTTCTGTAGTGGACAGAAAAAAAAAAGATTAGTTAGAGCTCACTACAGCAAGCCAATCCCAACCACTAGACAATGCTATCTTCTTACTACTTTTGTCACTGTATCCAAGTGGATCTACAGTGCCTATCCTGTCACTTTTCACATTGGTGAGACATCACAAGATTACCCTTACTTCTGAAAGGACTCACTATCCCTGTGACTTAACCCTTCCTGGATTCATCCCTTCTGAGTATTAACTTTCCTTGTTAGAATATAAACTCTAAGATCAAGGGCTGTCTCTCTTTATTATTTGTCTCTCAAGTACTTAGAATAGTACTTACAGCACAGCAAACACATAAGTTTTTAAAAAAAATATATTCATTCTTACTACTATTGTTGTTCATTTGTGTCCCACTCTTCATGACCCCATTTGAGGTTTGCCCCCATTGAGACAGATACTAGAGTGGTTTGCCATTTCCTTCTCCAGCTCATTTTACAGGTGAGGAAATTGAGGCAAATAGGGTTAAGTGACTTGCCACAGATCACACAGCTAGTAAGTGTCTGAGGCCAGATTTTGACTCAGGAAGATGAATCTTTCTGAATTAGGGTCTATCCTCTGAGCCATCTAGCCACCCCATATATTCACTCATGCTAGCAGAGTAATTGAAATGTATCAAGCTTGGAATTTTTTCTCAGAACAAAATAAGAAGTTCCACTCAAATGGAAAGATTATTTACAAAGTCCTATTGTGAGACCTCATCATGTCATGGGGTAACCCCAGATCATTTTGAAGGTTATGCTAGCAAAGCTCAAGTTCTTGCTAAAAAAAAAAACCTCAAAGAACCATCTTGGTAATAGAACACATATGTTTCCTAGGAAAAGATAGGTATATCACAAATAGGTTGACCACATGATAATTAGTCTTTTGCTGTGACACCCATGACACAAAGAAAAATACAAATAGCTCCTTTTACTCTTATAGTGATAATAGTAGATTGCTGGAAAAGGGGATGAAGGTAATATGAATTACATGGTTTTTAGACCATCTATAAAATTTAATTTAGCTTTTGTTACTCTAAATGTGATATTTTTTTTCTAATCAGTAATGAATAATTTTAAAAAGCATAGAATCATGTCATTGATGACTTTATCATTATATATGGAACCATAATTAAAAAGGAATTAAGGTCAAAATGGAATTAGGGTTCACAGGTAATCTTTGGAGAAGCAAATAAACAGATTAGTGGAGTTAGTTTTACCCTGAATCCTAAGGCAACATAATGTCATTTCATGGAATATTTGGTCCTTTCATATTCAGTACTTAAGATAAATATTTACAAAAAAGACCAACCTGAAAATAATTGCGTATTATAATATATACTAATATCTGTTTCAGAAGATGGATAATAGAACTTCTACCAAGAACCTAATTAGATCCTCCAAATAAAATTAACTTATAAACTTATACTCAGTGTCTTCATTGAAAACATAGAAATAGGTGAAGATGATGAAAAATAAGCTAGAAAACATGGATACATGATGAAAAATGCTTTCCACCTCTAGATAGAGAACTGATGGTCTCAGGATACATACTGAAGCATTTTTTAAAATTTTCCTTGTTTTTGGGGGGAATGAGGTGTGGAGGAGCATGGCAAAAAAATAAATATGTTTTTACGTGACTTCATGTGCATAATGGGTATCGTATTTCTTGCTTTCTCGATGAGTAGAAAAAGGATAGAGGGAGGGAGAGAACTTGGAATTAAAAGTAAGATAAAATTTAATGTGAAAAATGATGGACAATCTATAGAGATTATTCATTAGTGTATGTGTACATATGAAATAGATACAGAGACATATGATCTATGTAGATGGATAATACCAATAGGTAAAGAGTTGGGCCCAGAGTGAAATAAAGAGAACCTTCAGCAAATTGCTGTTTCATAATTGACCCCAGATATTTCTGCTGTAAGTCTATGAATCATGAATCACAACAATCTCAGAAGAATGAAAAATGAATATCACACAAAAGACAATGGAGAAGAATATGATATGTGTGAGCTGGTTACAAAATATAACAAGTAAAGAACTTTGACTACTTGGAATAAAAGATGACATCAGAGAAATCTGTGATTGAAAAAGAGGGTGGGCTGGCCACATGACAAGGACAGAGGATAACAGGTGCATAGCCCGGTTGTTCTGTTGATATACTTACAATATTAGGAGAAAACAAAGAAGGCCCCTGGTACATTTTGTAGACTGTGGTGAACTTACGGGTTGACATCTACAAAAGTCACACAAGATTGACAGACATAGATCAGATTGGTTCTTTACTGTTTGAGAAAACATTGAAATCAATGATATCAAAGATTAATTTGAGTTTGAATCAATTTGAATAATTTGAATAAAAATTAGTTTATATAGTTCAATTCAATAAAACTCTATTAAGCACCTACTATAAGCCAGTCCCAATACTAGGAAATGAGGATACAGTGATGAAAAATAACAGTTCCTGCTCCATAGGGAGTTTAGATTTGAGTGGCAGAAAGGACAAGTAAGTGAATAGTTATGATGAGGGAAGTTAATCTAACTAAGTACAAAGGATAGGTCCTGGTAAAATACTCTGAGCAGTTTGAGAAGGGGTGGTCAGGGAAGGTTTCATGGAAAAGGTGGTATTTGAGTTATAAGATGAAGATAGGGCTTTGGAGTAGTCAGTTCTAGGTACAGAACTTTTTTTTAGAGGGATATAGCCTATTTTGGTTTTCCTGAAATGTACACTCTGTGAGGAGGAGTAATATGAGATAAGTCTGGACAAGTAGGTTGGGATCTGATTGTATAGGGTCTTGAATGCTAGAATAAGGAATTTGTAGCTTATTTTGTAGGTAATGGTTTTTATTTGGAGGTGGCCATGGTCATTTTGTGGTTATTCAGAAGATCATTTGAATAGCAATGTAGAAGATACATTAGAATGGATACAGGTTAGAGACTTAGGCAAGAATAACTGAGGGACTGAATTAGGTTGTGCAGGAGGAGTAAGAGAGAGAGGCTGAATGCAAGTGATATAGGAGAGGTAGAAACAACATGATTTGACAACTAATTGGATCAGTGGGATGAGGGAAAAAGAGGAGACAAAAATGATTTTTATAAATGAGCCTGGAAGCCTAGAAGAATGGTAGTACTATTAACTGAAACGGAAAATTAGGCAGTTGGGCAGGGAAAGATAATGGGGTTCAGTTTAAACATGTTGAGTTTGAGGTTCTGGAGGAACCACTGTATATCTGCAGCAAACAGTTGGAATACAGGGGTGAAGCTCTGGAGAAAAGGTGGACATTTAGATATACTAAAGACTCATTTACACAAGTAAAAATAATTGAAGCCATGGAAGCAGATCACTGAGAGATGGTAGAGGTAAGAAAAGAGGCTTTAATTCAGAACTTTGGAGAGCACCCATATAGAGAAAGATGAAGAGCCAGTGAAGGAAAAAGGTCCAGTCAGAGAGGTAGGAAAGTGAGTGGCAAGTGGTCAAGTGGCTTGAATGTAAAAAAAAAAATCATGATGGACTGGTTGACCCACCATTTCAAATGCTAGAGGGAAGTCAAGAAGACCAAGGAAAGAAAAAAAAAAAGAAAATTCTGGACTTGTTGATGTGGCCTTTATCTTGAAAAGATCTTTATTTGAAAAATATTTATTTATTTGTATTAGAAAAAAATTTTTTGAAAAAAATTTAAAAAAATTTATTTATCTTTATTTGAAAAGAGTGGTAGGGACATTCAATTATCAATTAGCATTTATTAAACACTTACCTTGTGCCAAGCACTGTGCTAAATACTGGGAAGGTGAAGAGAAAAAGTCCCTATAGCCAAGGAGTAGGGAAGAGACTAGAATGTAGGAGGTTGAGAATTAATGAGTGATAAGGAAGTAGGTATAACAAATACAAACTGCTTCTCCTAGGTGTGTGTTTGTATGTGCGCCTGCACATATGTTTAGGGGACACTTGAATGTGTTCATAGACTTAAGTGATGAGCCCAAGTAGTGAAG